CACATCATCTGCAAAAAAGCAGAGACCTAATCCTGAGGTCACCAAACCGGACACCTTCAACGTCGTGGCCGCCCCTAGAAATTCTGTCCATAAAGCTTATGAACAGAATCGGTGATAAAGGGCAGCCCTGATGGAGAACAACCCTCACCGGGATAGGGGAATCCACCCCCAAGTCCCCAGACTCTGCTTCCTCATTGGAAGGCGTGTCGGTGGGATTGATGGTACAAGGTCTACATGGTATTTATCTATGAAACATCATTAGTATTAAATAGTGTTTTAAGACGATGCGAGAGTAACTGTTGAGCTTAAAATAGAAATAATAGTAATACTTGAAGATGATGCACGTGTGTATCTCTCGCTTTGGAGTATGGAATTGTCATTTATTTCATGATTTATTGTTTTATTTACCGCTTTTGTATGTGTGCTTGTATTAGCTTTATATTAATTGTTAATGCTTTTTATCATTAGTTAGTTAGTGTCACGTTCAGCTCCAAACGATCCTCGTTTGTGCCACGCCCCCTCATTACCTCATGTCGACTCCTGATTGTTCCCACCTATGTCTAGTGGATTCCAACCTGCCCTGTGTATATTAGTCCGCGTCTCCCACTATCCCCCAGATCCGTCATTGTACTCCGGCTGCGCCGTCGCCTGCCGCGGCTTCCCCCTCCTGCCTGCCTTCGCCGCCTGTTCCCTCCTGCTCCCTCCGTGTCCCCTCCGTCTTTCCCTCGGCCCCTGTGTGGTTCCCTCCTGCTCCTTTCTCCCTCTCGCCTGCGGCCTCTCCAGCCGCCGCCCGTCGGCTGCCTGGGCTCCCTCGGGCTCCCTTTTGTCCCCCGTCCCTGCCGGTTTGGTCTCCGCTGTCTGCTCCTCCTCCCTTCGTCCTGCCTGTGTCTGTTCCTCGTCCCTCTGTTCCTCCTCCGTTCATTCCTGGCCCCTTTGTGTCGCCTGTGGGTGTTTCCCCTGTGTCTCCCTTCCTGGTTTGTCTGTCGGCGTTTCCCGTTCTTTGTCGGGTCCTGTCTTTCTTTTCGTCCTTGTTCCTGTTCTGTGTCTCTGTCTTGTTTCCTGATCCTCGTTAATGTTCTGCTTTTGTTTTTCAGCTCCTGCCCCTCGTCTCGTCCGTCCCCTCCCCTCGGGCGCGCCTGGTATGCGCGCCTTTGGGGGGGGGTTATGTCACGTTCAGCTCCGAACAATCCTCGTGTGTGCCACGCCCCCTCATTACCTCATGTCGACTCCTGATTGTTCCCACCTATATCTAGTTAATTACAACCTGTCCTGTGTATATTAGTCCGCGTCTCCCACTATCCCCCAGATCCGTCATTGTACTGTCATGCTGTGTGCTGTGCGTCGATTGTCTGCCCGGAATAAACCCTCTTTTGCGTATTCCCGGCTCACTCTCCTGCTTCCCCGCTCACCTGCTTGGCGGATCGTGACAGTTAGGTAGATAAGTTTAAATATGCAATCATTTGGGCGTCTGGGACGGATTAAATTCATTTACATTATTTCTTATGTGGAAATTCAACTTGGGCCTCGACTGGATCACAACTCCACCAGCCTTCAGGAACAAATTGAGTTCATGTACTAAGGTACCACTGTATTTAAGATTCACAAGACTTCTTCAAAAATTTTGTAGTTTGAAGATACTGTCCACTAAAATATTGTGTGTAATCCTTTTTTCACTCGCACCATGGAATTTAACCTATAGGGGATTTGAATTTTACATATCGGACCGTTGAACTTCACAAATCAGGACACTGAATTTGATTTATGGGACACTTACATTTTATATATCGAGGCTGGAAAATTTTGTGTATAGGGCCAGTGAGTTTTATATGTACAATTGCTGAATGTAATATATAGAGCCACAGAATCTGACATATTTATGTAAGATTGCTCAGGCTGAGGGGCACAGATCTCTGCCGTAAGATATTCACGGCGAAGTCTCTGGGCCGCAGGGCTACGGAAGGTGTCCGTGTTCGCATGTGTTTATCGTTCCCCTCAGATTCTCGCACGTGGCACAAAAACAACACAAAGGCACAGTTCTCAGTGACTCAGGGAGCTTTATTGATCTCTCATGTGACACTCCGGGTCGCCGTCTGTGTGGTGACCACGCCCATGTCTGACGTCTTATTTTCCTGCTGGAGCCGGGGTGGGGGCGGCAGCGGGGGCGGCAGCAGGGGAGGAAAATTGGCGAAGCAGCAGGAAGGGGAGCAGGGCGTTGAGGGCCGAGTTGGACGAGGGCGGGTAGTACGATGGGTAGGAGGGCTGTGGCATGTAGGGGTAGTATGGTCCATATCCGCCAAATGGACTGAATCCACCATATCCACCATATCCACCAGATCTCTGGAAGCAAGACGGAAGCAAGCTCATGTCACATGACCAAAAAAGGCATTCCCTCCCGGTACCACAAGCAACCTCCCTTTACACCCTAGACAGTGCAGTTAGGCACGATCTTCAAACAAATAGTCATTCAGCTCAAGTATCACCCTACTCTGTCATTTACAGATGCATCTCTGCAAAAAGTCTGAACCTGAGTCTTTAAAGCCTTTTACACAAATGAGTAGTTTCAGAATAATTCAGAATAAGCATAATCGTCAGGATTCTGAACCGGACCAGCTGTGGGTCCCCAAGGACCAGATTAGGAAACACTGCGCTACGGTGGTTCAGTTAAACTATCAAAGTTTTAAACTAAGTGTTACCCTCCACCAATTCTAACCATCACGCTGAAGCTCATGTTGGCTTCTCCTGTAGGACATTAATGGCGAAGCCAGAGAGCCGTGTTGGAAGATCTGCGAGGAAAATTGACGGGGGACTGACCTCCCGACTGGAGGAACGTTCACTCCTCCTGTGCTCC